TTAGATTGCTTGTATATCTATATCATTAATTGTGTTCGACTATGACATATCAATCGATCACGAATTTTTACTCTTTCAATAAAATTTACATACTTGGAAAAGGCGAATAAAACTGAATATTCACTTAAATTGTGAGCAATTGGTGTGATCTACTTCCAAGCAAACTTTTCAACACTCTCTTTCTGACAGAAAAAGGCTGTTCTCTCTTTTCTTCTGTCGAGCAGACGATTTTTCTTCTTACTTTCTGTCACATTGACGACACATGTGTTTAGCAGAGAAAGAAAATAAAGAACAATCGTGCAATTAGCTGCGACGAAGAAATTATTTACTGGTCTTTTTGAAAAGTAAGAAAAATCAGTTGCATTACTCAATTCTATGCTGAAGTGCTTCGAGCAGAATATTAGGGGGAGGTAGTGGAGGATGGAAACCATAAGGTCACATTGCTTTCAAAGCAACTCCGCCTTGTACTTGCATTAAATGATCATTCTTTTCTTGTATTCTCCACAGAACGCAAAATAGAAAAATAAATACAATCAATTTAACTACCCTGTGTTTTTTTTTGCGCCATGGAGATGCTCTTGATGCCGTGGTCGATTACCTGTCGTGACATGACATTTTTAAGTATTAATAATATACGTTCGCAATTTGTCACTATTCTCGCTTTACTAGGAATACATTAAGATATTCAGTTGTACAGATTCACAGCATTCTTGTGTGTAATGGTATCAATACTTTAATTGCTTTATTCCAATCTTTACCTAGTAACCCACTTACTTCGTTCATATTGTTCTTGAGCATCAGAGAGACTAACATATCGAAGTATCTGTCATGGTCTGGGTGTAGGTGAGTGTGCATCGTTGAAATATGTGTTCTGTGCAACCGTACTCACACCCATCGATACTTGTATTTCGATCAGTGAAATCTCAGTCGAATCGTTTGACAGTATTTGCATTAACCTATCCAGGGTATGCACATGGGTGTAGATGTGTGAGTGTGTGAATCTTCTCTGAGTCTGCTCCCACACCCACACTCTGTTAAACAAGACAAAAGTGTGTTTTATTTGTGGTCATGATCTAAAAGAAATTATTCAACAATATGGTTCATTACCAGAATAGAATTTAAAAAATAGTTGGTCAAAAGAAAACTTAATTAAAAAAGATAATGCTAGTAAAATTTTGTGGATGATATTTCTTTTGTGTATTCAAAAAGTGAGTACACTCTAGAATCGGTCAGTGTGTCCGGCCGTCCGTCCATCCGTTTACACGATAACTTTTGAAAGGAGAGTCCAATCACGATGAAATTTTCCACACAGTTCAGTCTTAACAGTGTCTCGGTCGAGTTCGAAGATGAGCAGGATCCATCAAGAAATGGCTGAGTTATCGAAAAAATTGTCATTATTGAGAAGACCATCCCTGAGGGGG